CAGAGGCTGTTTAACAAGACCATTTCCTCAAAGCTCCCCATAGTTTACACATCCAGCTTTTCACACCTTTCTCAGGCCAGGGCTATTCACATGGACGCTTTGAGCCACCATAATGTGGCACTGTCATTGGCAGAATTTGCTCTGTCCTCTCCCCATCCCTATCCCATACAGCCCCTTCCCTTGTTTTGGCACAAGGGTTTAGCCACATTGGGCCACTTGAACAAGGACCAGGAAACCTATCTGGGTTTAAAATTATGTACTTATGCATTTGTTTGCATATTTGTGTGAAGCACATTTTACACTCAGCTCAGTGCTGTGTTCAGATCAGCTCTCTTGTGCTGGCCCATGGGCAGGGTTAGCGTAGGAGTGAAACAGAGCAGCAGAGAATAAAATAATTTCTCATGGTGGTGAAGCTAATTCATGGAAGCTTAAAATGTTTCTGAGGCTACAGCCCCTGCTAAATGGAAATTCACTGCCAGACAGACATATGCTCTCTTGGTCCCTTGAAAAGCATGAGGTCAGAATCAAAGTGCCACCCATACCCTAAATGAAAGCAATGGTAGGCTGAGAATATCAGTTCCTGTCCTCCGAGATCTCCTGCCCCTTTAGGAGAGCCCTTTGCAGTTGTTTGCAGCCTTAAAAAATTTGCGTACGATAAATGTTTTTTAATAGACATGTGGCTCCAGGGCAGTGAATTTAAGCCCACTGCTAATAGATTTGCTTTGCTTATTTTGCTTCTGGAAATGCATAAAGAGCAGTCTATCAGTCACTGCAGATCCAGATTTGCTGTTTGCAAACCAATGATCTAATTTGTTGTGCATTGGGGATTGTGCGTGTGAAGGATTTTTCTGGCTGAAGATATTTCTCAAGGAAGTGGTGTAAAATCTTTCTGATAATTTCTGATAATTTCTAATCTGGGGAAGGAGAGCCTCTTCTTCCTGAGGTAGCTGCTTTATGAAACCGCTTGTGTGAAAATGGCTGGGAGTTGGGAACAATTAGCTGATTAAGTGCAGCAGGTAGCATACGTTAACCAGGAAAAAAGGAGGTTCATCAGTAATGAACCTAATTGCACCCCTCCGTATCCCTCCACCTATGCAGGAATACACTCAACGTGATTCTCCGCTTATTTTAATCGGTATAAATCAGGGCCAGCTTTTGAAATCGACCGCAATTACACCAGGAAAGTAAACAAAATAAAAGCCAGGACTACAAAACAAAGACTCCCCTTTCCCAGGCACACGGATCCGGGCGCGGGGAACATTCCCGCGTCTCTAGCCGGGCTCAGCTCCGTAAACAAAGCCCTGCGCAACTCTGCGCAAAAAGAACGCAGCGGGCGCGCAGACAAAGCGGGGCCAGCGAGCGCTGCTGAGCGCTGCAGCATGCGGGGCTGTGCAGGGCTTCCTCCGCGAGTGGGCTCTGGCGGCCGCTGCCTTTTTTTTTTTTTTTTTTTTCCCCATTCGTGTGAACGTTATTTTTTTTTTTTTTTCTCCTCTCTTCACCAACTTCCTTCCTGCTTCAACTGCCAAAGCTCAAAGCTGAGCTCTGAGTGGAGGACCCCGGTCGCAGGCGCCGCTGAGCCGGTGAGTACGAACCCCGGCGGAGAGAGTCCGGGGAGAAGCCGGGTAGGGGGACAGGAGAGGGTTCACTCCCGGCTCCATGTCCCCGGACGCTCCGCAACTTTGCGCCTTTGTTCCCGGCGGCTGGCTTCGTTGCCCAGCCTTGCCCGGGGAGACGGGCAGAAACCCACTGCATCCGAGGGGGAAGTTGGGCTCCACGATGTGGTGGGCTGGAGGGACAGGGGAAGGAGAGGCAGCCCTCGAGGTGGTGTGAGGGCCCCCGTGGGGTGTCGGTGGGTGTACCCCAGTGGGATGGTACCCGGCGGCCCCCGAGCTCCCTTTCTGCTCTCTCCCCCCTCCCCCCCCCCGGGTGGGATGGGGAGTCATGGCGGGGGATGCTGGAGGGGTCGCTGTGCATTGCCCCTGTTGTGGAAAATTACTTCCTCCCTGCTAAACCCACTTCCTGGAGATAAGCCCTCGATCAGAGGGTGTTTGGGGGAGTGATGGACAGAGGGAGGGCAAATAAAACGCTGCCCCTGTGTCGCTGCCCCTGTGTCACTGCTCTTTGCACCCATGAAGGCATGTGGGGGCTGCGGAGGTGCCCACCATCTGCTGCAACCCAACTCCTACTGCAGGTGTGAGGGCAATCACTTCCCTGCACAGGCAGAGCCCAGCCATGAGATGCTCGCACCACTCAGCAGGGTATGATTCCTCCTTCATGTCCTGCAGCCATCTCCTCTTCTGGCAAGGACCTCTAACGCTACCCTTGCCCCTCTCCCCACTGTTTTGTGGGTGCTGCCAGGCCTCAGAAGCACAGGTGATGCATGACTGTGGGTTGGGGCTGCAGGAATGCAAGAAAAATGTAGTGGTGCAAGGCACAAATCGTCCAGATTTCTGTTTGTATGGAGCATTTATAGGGTTAATTTTCTCATTTGTACTGTGGCTTGTGGCCTGAAGGGGGGATCTCCATCTTAGCCCAGCCCTTGGCTTGGGCAGTGGCACAGGATCCCAGGGACCCTGATAACTGGGTACCACACTCACTTTGGGGAAGTGCTGGTGCCAAAGCCCGGCAGCATGTCTCAGCTTGTAGAGCTGGAGCGAGTAGGGGCAGGGGCAGCTGAGGTGTGAGCTTTCCTCTTGGTCACTTCCTGCCTGAGAATTTGGCAGGAAGGCAGGGTCAGGTTCACAGCCCGGGGAGAAATGCCAGAATGGGCTCTCACCACAGCCATACTAAGGTGCGTGTAAGCCAGGGGTTGTTCAATGAGCCACCCACATGGGCTGTCAGAGAATGTCTATATGGCTTATGTGGTGCAAAGGGAAGATCTGAGGGATGGAGAGCAACCAGCTAGTGCAACCCTGACTGCTTTTTCTCTTAGTGGCCATTGCTCTCTCTGGTGTTAAATCACCCCCACTCCCCTCCCGGAGGACAGGGGCAGACAGGCAGTTCTGTGCTATGGTTGTAATGGTGGCAGATGCAGCCTGGTGTCATGAGAGAGCTAAGGAGAGAGAAAATTATTGGGACTGCAGCTGGAGCCCAAGTGAAAGGCAAGACCTGGTGGTGGCTGCTGCAGCTCATTACATGCCTTTCCTGTGCTGCATGTGGGATGGCACTGAGAGGACTGCGAGGCTTTGTAAGGTGACTAATGCTGGAGCCGCAGAGCAATGGGGCATGAGCAGTTGTTGCTGTCCTGAGGGAGCTTCTGGTTTCCCTCCTCATGAGGACAAGCTGAAGGGCCTTCCCTATGGTGTGTAAGCCCTTCACACTTCTAAGGCTGGGCATGAACTCAGCCACAGTTATTCAGCTGCTGGGATGTGTTTTCTTCCCTGTTCATGTGAGCTGAGATTCCCATTTTATTTCCCAGCTGCCTGCTCTGCACTAATTCCTGACTCACCACAAAATCGCAAAGTAGTCTTGTGATGGCCATTAGCTTTCTCAACTGTGACACCACTCTTCTTACTCTTCTGGTGCTTGGTCCTTCTCTGTCCTGTTGTAACATATCAATATATCGCTCCCTGCTTTGTGAGGTTTTTGTTTTGATTTGGTTTGGGGGATTTTTTTCATTATTTTTTCCCCACTGGAATTGCCCTGGGATGTCTGCATATTACTCATTGCTGCCTGATTCCACTTGCTGATTCATCCTGAACTGTTGCGTGTATAGCTTTTTTTGCATTTCCTTTCTAGTTTAATGAATGAGAGAACTATCCCACTAGCTCCCAGTTTAACTTATGGGAGCAGGGATGAATGTTAAGGCCAGCTGCAGAGAAGGATAAAGGGCTTGCTGGGGAAACTGCAAATAATCAGGCAAAAGGGGAATTTTTAGTTGGGACAGTCTCAAAAAGGGGGTTAATACAAGGGTAAGTGGAAGTGAACTGAATGAACTGTGTAGCTTGACCAAATCCTTCTGCTGCCAAACAGCGAGGAATGGCTTGGCCATTTGTGACAACTGCCACTGCACCAGAGCACTGCTGTTTTCCTCCTTTCTCTGAAGAATGGGAAAGTGTCTGGAACCGTGCAAGCTGGCTCCGCAGGGCAGGCAGATGACTAAGGGGGACCTGGCACAGCACTGCTCACCTCTTCTGCCTGTCTCCTGTTCCGCCATTCCATGCCCTGGCTGCTCATCAGTTGATCTCTCCCTGCTCTGGCTCCCATTTGAGATGCCACCCAAGCAGCTTTGCTGCATGCCTGCATTCAGCAGTGCATGTCCTGGCTGTGCTGGCTGCGGGCTCCAGCCATCCTGCCTCTCTTTTCGGAGAAACCCCGCTGATGCAGCACAGATACACATGGCTGCTCTGAAGCTGGGCTGGATGCAGCAGCGGGAAGGAGATAAGATCGGTGCCTGAAGTGAGCTGTTCCTGGAGCAAGCACTGGGAACGCCAGCAGATGACTGTAGTGGGTGCATTTCCTTGAGGGCTACTTGCTAATATAAGGGAGCTGCTGCCAGGTATTTGAGCTTTCTGTGAAATGTGGCTTTTAGCCTACTGTGAAAGGGTAAATGAAACCCCTGGCCTTGGCTTTATTCATGTCTTTCTGTCCCCCAGTGCGTGGCAGTGGCTCTTTGTGTGATATAGCTGGCGAGCACTGAAGCCTTGCATGGTGGCTTGTAATTGCAGGGCTGCCGGCCACAACTGTGCTGCAGAGTGGCTGTAAATCACTCTGCTTTCAGCCTCTGCTCCTGCACCTCCTCCCCAGGAGGGAAGAATGGTGTAGGTCTGTAGGTCTGCGTGTGCGCGTGGTGCCTGCAGGGAAAGGAGCGGGGGCAGAGGGGGATTGTGTTCGAGCCAGAATATTGGCTCGGCAGTGCCGGGATTGCAGCTGATCACCAGCGCCATTTGCCTTTAACGATCCCGCTCTGTGCTGGGTGTGTGCCTGCCTATCCAGGGATCGAGCTGCGCTGTGCCCAGAGCAATTGCCCCTGGGGATTACCTTCCAGACCAGTCTTATTGACTACCCGCACTTCTTCTCAGTGACCATGACTGAGAAGACCCAAGAACCTCATGTGGAGGATGATGATGATGAGCTGGATGGGAAACTCAACTACAAACCTCCTCCCCAGAAGACACTGCAGGAGCTGCAAGAGTTGGACAAGGATGATGAAAGCCTTGCTAAATACAAGAAGTCCCTGCTGGGAGATGGACCTGTGGTAGTAGGTAGGCTGGGGCATTCTGATAGGAAGGGACTGGGGAGATGCATCACAACAGTGTGCTGTGGGGATGGTGCAAAGCCTTAAGGAAGAGGGAGCTTGTTTGTCCAGGCACATGAGCTGCTTCTGTTGGAGGACTGGGGATGGACAGGTGGAAAGATGCATGTCAAAGAAACAGGGAAAATGCTCTAACCATTAGATGTAAGGTTACTAGGACGTGCTGACATCAGAAAGGGACTTGTGGTGGGAGGTCTGTGGGCCTTGGAGGACCCTTGAAGGCTTAAAATCCCCTGGGAACCAGTGTATGCTGAAAGAGAGACTTGCTGCTCAGAATGATCTTATGGGGGGATTGCCTTGGAGTGGAAAGACCTCCTCTGGGTATTGGGATGGAGGCTGGAGGGATCCATGTTGGCAGACTGGGGTAGATACATGGTCCTATTGTACTAACAGTCTGTTGTTACTAGGTGTTGCGTGAAGTGGAGTTTCTGTGTTTCTTCAGTGTTCAGAGACAGTGTTCACTCTCCCCCCCCCCTTTAATATTGCAAGCTAACAGCTTCCCCCTGACTTTCCTACCTGCAGACCCAACAGCTCCCAATGTGGTGGTCACCCGCCTCACCCTGGTATGTGACTCTGCTCCAGGACCAATCACCATGGACCTTACAGGTAGGTACAGACTGTCATTGCGCACAAAGGGGAACAAACAAAGGCCCTAGCATGCTTCACATTGAAAGGGAGCTTGTCTTTGGGATGCTACAGTGGATTTTAGAGGAACTCTAAGGGCATCTTAGCCTTGTTTCTTATTTTGATGTATATGTATATGAAAAAGGAGATGTACAGAGAAAATTGTTGAGGGTCTTTTTCTCTGGCTCGACTGATCTGAGTTTTTCCTGCATTCTCTTCTTATTTTCAATGAGACCTCATGAGCACATGGGATGTGCATGCATTTGGGTAACCGACTGTTTTGAAACTTCAGAATCAAGCAATGCTGCAGTTCCGGCTCCTGAAGACATGGGGAGAGAACCAGGCTTCACCTTATATGGGCTTTTCTGCAGAGAGAGGAAGTTGGGCCCAGAGGAGCAGAGAGGCTTCCTGTTCAACCAAAAAACACTCAGAACCCTGCAGAGTCCAGGCAGTCTCACAAGCTGGGCAGCAGCTGTAAAACGTGCTCACTCACCCAAGCCAGGGCTGGGCATGTACATTCAAGCATGTACGTGCTCCTGCAGATTCCCAGCAGTGGGTCTGTGCATAAACATCTTTGTGTATATGTGCCCAGACCTGTGTTTGTTTAGGCATTATCTTCATAGATGTGGACACAGGCACATAGAATAGAATAATCTAGAGTTTCACTTCCAAAGACAGCCCTGACCTCAACTGCACAGCTAAGGCAGGTGTAACCTCAATATCCCACTGATTAGAGGGACTGGGTTTGAGAGGCTCATGCTGGGTTTCAGGTGAACATTAAATAGAAATTTCAACATTCCATTCAGAATCCATTTTCTAGCTTGTTCATTGATTGGAATTAAATTAACATATGCAGATTTTCCAGTTTCTTTTTCTAGTTCACCAGAATCCTGTTTCCCAAGTGTTTCTACGCAACTGACATTTGTTTAACAAATGAGCCTTTGTCGCCCATAAGTGTATGATTCCCTTTTGGTGGAAATAGGACATGCTGCTCTGATGCTCAGCTGAGGTCCAAGATGGTCCTTGTTGATAGTCATGTCTCAGAATTATATGTACATAGTTATTGCAGGTAGAACTTTTCCTTTTCATGATTCTTCAGTTGTCATTGCATAAGACTGTGCCAGAGATTGCTACCTTGTACACGTTCATAGAGTCAAAACATATGTACACCTAGGCATTTCTGTGTATGTGCTCTCAACAGGGCAATTGCTTACACAGACCTCTGTGTACTCATTTTGCAAGTGTGCTGTGCTTGAAGGGATGCTTGCTTTTGACACCAATCCCATCACCATCCTCCCTGCGTGTAGTCTTCCCACTGTGACATGTCTAGCTAATGGCTTGATCCTCTCCTTACAGGTGATCTTGAAACACTCAAGAAAGAGACCTTCGTATTAAAGGAAGGAGTGGAATATAGAGTTAAGATCCACTTTAGAGTGAGTTGTTTTCCTTCCTGTTGCTTCTCATCACTTGCTGAATCTGGCCAGTGGCAGCCTACCAGATAAGTAGAGCCAGGCAGCATGCCTGCCTAAAAGTTGGGCCTTTGTAAAGCTTCCATAGCTTCATGTGTCATTCTGCCCAACAAGGGATTGGGTATTTCCAGGGAATTCCTTGTGCTTGGTTGCCCCTTGGAAGAAGTTGCTTTCTGTCCACTCACAGTGGTGAACAACAGGTGGTTTGGAAGCCAGATGGGTAGTTTTGGCTGAGTTTGGCTTCGCATTTTAGCCACCAGAAAACCTTTACTTCACATAAAGTGGAAATGGACAGGGAAGAGAAAACTGCTTTCCGTGAAGTACTGGTTCAGCTGGCGTTGCTGAGCATCATGTATAGAATCATAGAATGGTTGGGGTTGGAAGGGACCTTAAAGCTCATCCAGTTCCAACCCCCTGCCATGGGCAGGGACACCTTCCACTAGAGCAGGTTGCTTCAAGTCCTGTCCAGCCTGGCCTTGAACACTGCCAGGGATGGAGCAGCCACAGCTTCTCTGGGCAACCTCTGTCAGGGCTTCACCACCCTTACAGTAAAGAATTTCTTCCTTATATCTTATCTAAACTTACCCTCTTTAAGATGAAAGCCATTTCCCCTCATGCTGTCACTATATGTCCTTGTAGGAAGTCCCTCTCGAGATTTCTTGTAGTCCTCCTTTAGGAGCTGGAAGGCTGAATACATAAAAAAGATTTAATACCATAGCATTTGGCTGAAGATACCTGAATTCTTCTGGGCCATGATATATCCAAATGGGCTCATTTCTTCCCCTCTCCTGTTAACCAGTGTGTCAGACATTTCTTCTGCTTCCACCTGAAAATGAAACTTGGCCACACTCCAGCATGGCATCCAGTGCTGAAGTGATCATCCCCAACAAATGTTTGCTGCAGACAAAGCTGGGCTTGGCAGAGAAGGCAAAAAGGGAAGGAAGATAGCTCTCCTGAAATGGACAAGGGAAAGTGTTAATGTCTTTCATTCTGTAGGAAAGATTTCCCTTCTTCTCTGAAGCTTGCTTTTTCAGAGATTAATTTGTGTCCAGAGACACCTCCAGTTCTCCTTTGTGCTGTGAAATATTTCCATCTGTATCTGAAGCCTGTTGACAGGAGATACCTGGAGCCAGACAAGTTATTCTAACTCCTTCCCTCAGTCCTAAGGCTGGTAAGAGCTGGCACCATGTGAATTATCTCCTGGGATTTAAAAGGATCTGCCCATCTTGTTTCCAGATTGAGTAGTGCTGTGAAGAGGTGATGTATGCCGGAGGTGGACAGCAAGGGATACATTCAAGCTATCCATAGGAGGTCTGAGGAAAAGCTATGAAGAAAACCGTGCCCCTTTGTCTTTTGAGGAAAAACTTGCCAGCTCTCCACAGAGCTTAGAGAGTAGCTGGGAGTGCTCAGTTAACCTTGCCCTCCAATTTGTGCTACATGGATAACCTTAGTCATACATGTCTGGGTTTCAACACGGAAATTGTTAACCAGGAATTCCCTTCTTCACTTCTCTTTGTCCTCATCAGCCCATCTTGTGAAGCTGGCTGATGTGCTTCAGTCAGCTTCAAAGTCAGGGGAAAGGATGGAGAAGTGCAGGAAATGCACAGAGGATGCTGCAGGTCTCCAGGTGCCTATGGAGAAGTCCTCACAATGTGCCTTGTGCTGAGCATTTGAGAGCAGTGGTGTAGGAAGCCAAGATGGGTAGGTCTCCAAGGAGAGGGAAAACCAGCAGCTATTAAATCAACCCCCCTCCCCTGACACTTCTTTCTGGTCACTTCTTGCAGGTAAACAGGGACATTGTGTCGGGACTGAAATACGTGCAGCACACCTACCGGACAGGAGTGAAGGGTAAGAGCTCTTTGCCTTGCACATCAGTGCTTCTACCTCTGTGTTCCCTCTGCTTAAAGAAGTGTGCCAGCATCTCTGGATGAGGACAGGGCCTCCCCTCATCCCAAGGCCCACCCTGTGCCACCATATAGGAGGCAAGGCTTCTCAGCAGAGTGCCTTAGTTTGCACCCTGAATCACCCAGGCCAACTGCTTCCTGTTCCTGTGCAAACTCAATATGAGCCAGCTCTGGTATCTATGTGCTACACCACCATCTGCAGCAGCAGTCTTCAGAGATACTGGTTAGACAGTGCTTGCCACAGATTTCCTCTCTATACAGAGCTCTTCACCTCCCCTCCTCCCCTTTAGAGTGGCTCAGCCTGTGTGGAGCTTGTCACCCCCTGAAAGCTCTTCCAAATGCACTTGGTAAAATTCAGAACTGCTCTATGGAACTTCCTGCTGTGTGCAGAGTCCTGTGTTTGCCCCAAAAAGCACTCCTCTTTGTGCAGCGCTGCCCTGCCTGGGTGATGCACAAGAGAGCCCCGTTTTGCATGCACACATCCCCCATGTGCATTTCTGCATGCAACCACCTCTAAGGCACCAGCACATGCAAGTGGTGTCTTCTCACAAGAAAATAGAGTAGCAGAGGATCAAGAGAGATCTTGAGCCATACATTGGGTGTACCCACTCCCTTCCAGCAGAACGTACATATGAGAGGGTACTGAATTGCTTCTCCTTCTGCTCATCCATTTATCTTTCTAGCTGTCCTTATGCTTCACTAACTTTTCCCACTGTTTCTGTTCCCCTTGCTGACATGGACTGTCCCTTTCTTTCCCCACTGTCTCCTTTCTGTCTGTGATTTGTGCCCATGCTCCTTAATCATTCTCCACCCGTGGGACTCATACCTTGTGGATTATTTTCTCCTAGTGGACAAAGCCACATTCATGGTTGGCAGCTATGGGCCGCGGCCAGAGGAGTATGAGTTCCTGACACCTACTGAGGAGGCTCCTAAGGGTATGCTGGCTCGAGGCACCTATCACAACAAGTCCTTCTTCACGGATGATGACAAGCATGACCATCTCACCTGGGAGTGGAACCTGTCCATCAAGAAGGAATGGACAGAATGAGTTCACTCAGTATGCCTTCCCCCTTCCCATTCCCTTGCCTCCTGCACCAGTCTCCAGGTGGGCCATGCCCACCACGCTGCTCCTTCCTGCCACTGCGGCCAGCCACAACCCTGGCAGCCCTTCCCATGGGTGCTGGGGCTCTGTGCCAGCCTTTGTCGATGCACAGGTCTGTAGGCGGCCTTTGCTGCTGCTTCTGATACACTGAAAATAACCTGCCCTTTCTCACCACCACCCCATCATTACACCTAATGGGTTAAATTGGGAAGTATCTCCTTCCCTTTCTCCCAGTACTTCCTCCTGCTGCCTCCATCTCTCCTGTACCAACTCTGGTCCCGGAAGTGCCTTTTCTAGGAAACGAGATCACCTGGCAGGGTGGACTGGTCCCTGGAAAATCCCTGAGTTATACTTGCCATATGTTCTGACTCACCGTAAATGGTTTCTTACCTTCCATGATGGTCTCCTGGTCTGTATCTGGTGCCCCACCCCATTAAAATCCATCCTTGTGCAGGCAAAACCAGTTGGGGGAATGCAGCTAGATGCTGTAACAAGACTTCAGTGTCCCCAGAATAAAACCAGTTTCTTTCTTCTTTTCTGTATAAGCGTCACATTCTTTTCTAGTGTGTGTCAGTGATGTGTATGTGGAGAATGCATTATAGGAGGGCTTAAGAGCATGCTTCAGGAGGCAAATAGCCTGCCTCCTTCAGAACATGTCCCAGTGACTGCCCTGTTGGCCAAGCACAAGGGAGCATCAGCCTCTGTGCCCTAGCACTTGGAGAAGTGCAGTGGTTTCTTCTGTGAGGAGAGATGCTCTTACCCAGCTGGGGCACCTGGTCACACAGGCAAAGGGTAGGCAAAGCATCCAGCACTGTGTGTGAGGATGCAGTGGTAGTGGTGCTGGTGAGGCTCTCCAAGACTGCTGCCTCTGCAGCAGCGAGGGGCTCTCTCCCAGCTAGGAGGTTATCCCTAGAGCTGAAGGCTTCACCCTGGGCCAGCTGCTCTCTTCCCACCACGCAGGGAGTGGCTGCAGGCCCCTGCAGCAGCTGACGTGTCTCTTGCTGGAGAGGAGTGGAGCAGAGTGCCATGGTGAGGACAGGGCAAGCTGACACCATGAATACCTCCATCTTCCTGTGCCTCTTGATCATCCTGCTCACCAGGGGCTCTCCAGCAGCGTCTGCTGGAGACAACAGCTCTGCATCCCACAGTAAGTGAGAATTCCTCCTGGCTTGGGGAAAGGCTGGGTCTGCTGTGGGGAGTCTTTCTTACCCAGGAGGGTTCTGTTGAGCTTGCAGGAGAGGTGTGTGGGTGACACTGTAAAGGGGGGGATGCTTTCATGCATGTTGGGGAGCTGTTTGTGTACCCTCTGTCCAACCATGACCTCTCCTTTCCAGGCACAGCCAGCAATGCAGAGAAACCTGTCCTGTTGGACAATGTTGCAGATGCTGAAGCCTTCATCAGTGGGGCAGAGGTGGCGGTCATTGGATTCTTCCAGGTGTGTTCACAGTACCTCCGCTCCACCAACTATGAGCTCAGTCCCACCCTGATGAGAGCATGGAGCTGAATGTGGCATATACACCTTCCAAAGGCAGCTCCTGTCCCAAAAGGTGCTGGGGCTGTGACAGGCCACAGAGGGAATGCAGGGAATTTCATTTATGTGTGGGAAGGGAGATGAAGCAAAGGAGGAAGGTGAAGGAGGTCATAAGAACCCTGGAGCCAGAGAAAGAGAAATGCTGCAGGGGAAACAAAATAGGAATGTGGGTGGCAGAGAAGCAGCATTGACGAGGCATGAGTGGGAATGTCAGTTGTTTGCTTTAGCCAGCAATGACAGAAAGAGGCACTGCCTCTGTCATGGGACTAAGGAAGCTGGGTATTGGGGAGCAGCACTGGTGCGGGCCCTCTGAAGTCCATCAGTGAGCTCAAGCTGCAGCCTCCTCCCAGGGGCAATGTAGGCATGGTCTCTCTGCCTTGCTGCTTTGTTCCCCAGAGTTGATACCCTTGAGGCCTCTGCCTCTCTGTGCGTGAATTCAATTGAATTCAAAGGTATGCATCCCTTGCTCCCAAAATGACGTGAATGTTTTTCCTCAGAAAACAAGACAAAAATATTTATCTAGAGCACTGCAAAACAGAGACCTCTTTGTCAGGATCCTCATTACTTTTAAGGTGCCCAAATTGCACCTTTTTCCTCCTTTTCCTTGAGCTCTGCTCTGGGTTTCTGCTGCCAGACACTGCCTCATTGCTTCTGTCAGAAAAGACTTCAGCTTTTCAAAAACAGCTCCTTCTGGAAGCACCTTCCTTCTTCTGCCCCATGCCTGGGGCTGGAGGGCAGCCTAGGGAGGGCATTGTGGCCTTGGTATAGGGCAATGGCATCTTACAGCCCGCCAGAGTGAGGACTGATGGTATGAAGCAAGAAGCATGTGAGTGCTGGAGGCTTGTGCCCCAGGGGCCTTGCTAAGCACGGATCAGAGAGCACCAGCTGCCTCACTTGCAGTGCCTGCAGGCATTTGGAGCTCCTTGCTCTTACAGTGATACAGTGCTGCAAACCAGCAAGGGAATCTTACTGTATGGAGGTGCCTCCTTCCCCTTGGACAGCTGGCTGGGCTTGTGGCAAGGCTGTACCTGGGGCACAGAGCCTGCTGCTAAGCAGCAGCAGGGACTGTGGGTTCTTGCTGGGTGAAGCTATGCAAGGGCATAACCACTGGTGTTTTGTGCCACTGTGGCCTCTCTGTTGGTGCAGGATTTCATTCCAGAGTCAGACAGGAGGCTGGTGCAATGCGGCCCAGGCTGCCAGGAGCACGAGGCAGCAGGCAGCAACGTGTTGGTCATCCAGCGCCTGAAGCATGACAGGGCTGCTTTTAAACAGTGGATAAAGACCTATGTGTGCCATGAGGGCTTGTCTTGGCCCTGTGCCTGAGAGTATATTCATCCACATAATGCCCATGTTCTCTGTTCTCCGTAAATTATTTTTCTACTGCAGCCTTTTAGTTCACTGCAGTACATGGCTCGGCAAGCTCCCTGTATAACGAGCATAGCCTCTCTGACAGGGAACAGAATGCCATGATGGAAAAACAGCACACTGCTCCAGAAACCCTGCGTGTCTGCAAGAAAGGGCAGTACTTGGCCTGATTAAAACACAGCTTTCCCAGGAATGCTCCAAAATTCAGTGCGGTTATTCACACCCCAGGCTTCAGTGCTCTCACCAGAGCCATGTCGATGTGCTGGCATTTCCAAAACAGGTCACGAGACATGTTTTTCTTTTGAATAAAGAAAGAATTTTGTTTTCCGTCCTCTCTGGGCTCACAAACAGCTGAACTGATGGCTCAAACTAAAAAGAAAAACAAACCAGTTATTTTCTAGCAGAGACTATGTCTTGAGAATTTAAATCCAATAAAAGGTATCAGAAATACATTACTCAAAAGCTTGGAATGGGAATAGCAACGGATGCTTCAATATGGGTTAAGGCTGTAGTCAATGCTCTTGCTCAAGAAAGAAAATGGACCTTAAATTACTGAGAAATTGCACATTTTTAATCCCTTGGTGTGTTTTTAAATTATGTGTCCAAGACAGCTTTTTAAAAGGAACCAGGATACTACTAATGCACGGTATTTTTACAAAAGTTGTAAACCACTGACTCTAAAACCAAGGTTATCTTAAAAATGGCATTTTTATATATTTATTTTATACACACATGTATGTGCATAATTATACATGTGTATCTGATACCTAAAGGGTGCCTACAAAGAAAGATGAAAAGGGATTTTTTACAAGGAGGTGTAGGGACAGGACAAGAGGCTTTAAGCTGAAAGAGAGTAAATTTAGTTTAGATGTTACAAAGAAATTCTTCATTGTAGGGTAGGTGAGACACTGGAACCTGTTGCACAGAGAAGCTGTGGCTGCTCCATCCCTGGCAGTGTTCAAGGTCAGGCTGGACAGGGATTGGAGCAACCTGGTCTAGTGGAAGGTGTCCCTGCCTATGACAGGAGGGTTAGAACTGAATGAGATTTAAGGTCACTCCCAACCCAAACTGTTCCGTGTTTCTCTGATTCCATGATTTCATGACATATATGGATATACATTTAAGCATGCTACATCCAGGTTCTGGCTTTCTCCCCTCCCTTTTGAGACCTCTGGGGCTTCTCACGATCACAGTGTCACCTGCAAGTGTGTGGGTACGATGCGTGGGTTCACGGAAAGTCAAGGCCAGGCCTACACTGCGCTGCCTCACCTGCCAGCTGTCTGTGACACCCACAGCGCGCCGGGCATCGTCTCCTGTAACATCCCTGATTCTGGGGAGGAGCGATGGTTGGCGGGGCAAGGGGAGGAGGGTGATCTCTGCAGCATACCTGCAGCGCAGGCAGGGTGATAACTGGAGAGAAAGATGCTGTCCCTTCCTCCGGCTGCCCGGTTCTCTCCCCTCTCTCCCGGCAGGGGGGCTGATCCGGACGGTTCTCCCTGACGGCTGCTAGGTGTCACCCTCGCGCTACCTCACGGAGGGCGGCGGGCACTGCTCTCCATCCCCGCCTTCCGCGAGTTCCCTCCTTCTCCCTCCGCAGGAACCGGGGAGCCCCGAAGCATCCCAGTTTCTCCTGACGGCCGGCCGGATCCCGGAGGTGCCCTTCGGCCTCAGTACCAGCCCCGCGGTCCTGTCCCACTACGGCGTCGAGGCGAACACCGTCACGTTATTCCGCATGGTGCGTGAGCCCGCGTTGTAGCGTGTCAGGGAACGGCACACACCGTGCCGCCGCCGCCGTGGTCAGATGACCCCGGGGAGCCAGAGGGGGCGAGCCGCGGCTGCCCCCGAGCTGCTCCCGCCTCGGGACACAGGGTGCTGTGCAACAAGCTGTATCCCCCGAAATCACCTCCCTGATTTAGGAGTTCCCCTGCCTGCTAGGTTTGATGAGAGGGGCTCTAGGGCAAGTGCTAAAGACCTGCCTGCGGTCACGGTAGAGAAGTGAAATCTCCAGGCAGTAGTGACAGAGTTTAAAGCTGCTCATCTCTTAGACATTAGGAAGGAATTCTTCACTATGGGGGTGGTGACACACTGGCGTAAGGTGCCCAGAGAAACTGTGGCTGCCGCATCACTGGCAGCCTTCAAGGCCAGGCTAGACAAGGCTTGGGGCAGCCTTGTGTAGTGGAAGGTGTCCCTGCCCATGGCAGTCACCTTAGAGGAAGCCAAAAACCAAGGCTTGTCATTGACGGTCACTGCTTGCCCACCTAAAAGCACATCTGTAGAGCTTGCTGCCCCAAAGAGGCGTTTTACTTTTCATTTACAGAGTACCCATCACCAAAATATGCAACATTTATTACACCTGATAAGGTTCTTCGTTTAAAGTGTTTGCCCCATGGGTCTGGTTCAGCACCTAGTGTAAAGAATGACGTCTCTGTTTCTGAGTGACCTGCCTGGAACTCAGTTTTACTTGAATGAGTTCCCGTGGTTTTGGTAAGGCTCCTGAGGCACACAAAGAGCATCTAGAGGCCATGTTACAATGGATCAACACAGCAGGCATGATATCAGATCTTACCAAGCATCACTTCAGACAGGCAAGGCTGTCTCAATCGGTGCACAACTTTTCCATCATGACTGAAAACAGATCCAGACCAGGTCTCTGTGATTATAAATGCTCTGCCACCAAAAGAAGTCCCAAACACTTTTTCTATCTGCTACACTATGATTTGCAGTTATTCCCTAAATGGGCTTTGGGCATGGGCCCATTAAAAATGTTACTTTGCAGTTTCTTAGGGATGGATACAGTTGTATTCAGTAAGTGCTGGTGCCTCACTGAGTTTGAAGCTACTGAAGTTTGAAGTTTGCTGAAATTCAAGGAGATGGTTTTGAGAAGGACTATACACTTGCTTCAAGAGTACTGAAAAAAGCTAAGAGCAAGAGCAATTTCTGCCGATTATATCCATTTCCTAGTGTGGCCCCTTCTCACACAAGTGTGGTACTAGAATACTGGAAAGAGAGAGATGTATCTTAGAAGAGCGGCTCTAGGCAGCACAAGATGTCCTGAAAGCCAGTGAAGTCTGTTACGTCAACAGAGCTTTAAGCACACCCTGGGAGAGGTATTGCAATGAAGACACACTATGTGTACTAGGGAAACTAAATGTGACAGCTTGGCCAAGTCCTAGATCCAGGTTGGTCAATGATTGGACAAAGCCAGTTTGTTCCACTTCCTTTCTCACTGTTTCCTGCACTGTGTTTACCACTGACATTATCCAAATAATTCAGAAAGGATGATCTAAGAGTGAGCAATAGGTAGGCAGGTCCTTTTATTTAACCTTTTATTTGCTATGTGCAGGCGTTGCAATTTGAAGTGACACCCATCTCCATTTTGTTTCTTAGTCATGCTGATTTTCTTCCAAAAATACTGAAAAGTTCCTTTGTTTTTCACTGTGGCAGATAGTGAGGATGACTGCACTGGGAGGGTGTTTGATAAAAGAAAATGTCTGGATTGTTAGAATTTGGATTATATTGAATATTCTTTGTTCATGGTCCAGTTTTTGCAGCTGAACTCTTGTTTAATAAGGAAAAAAAATCCCAACAAAACAAAACAAAACCCAAGCAGGAAGCTAATACACTAGTTAGGTTTAAATGTGGTTGACAACTCACTTATCTAATTGTCAGTTTTTCTTAAATTAAGATATTCAGATATATTATTTTTCCTTTTATTCTGTGCTAAATACTGTGTAGGAGTAAGGGATCAAAGATAAAAAGGAAAAGAAAAAAAGAGCTGAGACAGGAACTTTGAATCAAATACTTATTTGAAGATTCGTGACCAGGACAGCAGTGAATCAGAAGCATAAACTCATTTTTTCTTTGCTTTTGCTTAGAAGTTTAAACTGTAATTACAGTAGTAGGATGGGCTACTGTCAACTGGTGACACTTTTTTGCATATGGTGAAAGAAAACTGATTTGTTCTAGTGAGGAATCTGGCCTGATAGACCTATAAAGAACATAATTAACAGATGCGAGCAAGCTAGTTATATGAAGTGATAAAGACATTTTGACTGATCTTCAACTATTAGATGCAGGCCATTTCCCAACCTTATTTCCTTAAGATCATGAATGTTGACTGCAGATTTAAGAAGTTATTATCCCTAAATGGAAATCAGTTTTAAGAAGCCCATGAAAGTCAAGAGAAGACTTTCCGTGGAGTCTGGAGTGCTTTAGATTGGTTCCCAAGGCCTGTCTGTTCCCACCCACGAAGGTGTCACATTAGCCTGATCTCATTTACTTGAGTAGAGCTGCCCTTTCATTTTATGGAGGAGGAAAATCTACGAGAGAAATGAGACTATGCAGTCTGAAAAGCACTAGTTTGAGTTGCCAGACAGGGTGCTTTGGCTCCCTACTAGATCAAAGACCTTTCAAATGACCACAGAACACCGAAAAAGGCTTTAAATGTCTGCACACTGCTGGAAAAACTAACACAAGCACTTTCAGAGGTTGTTACAGATGCAGAGAGTAAAATATGGGCTATGCATGTGGACTTTTCCTGAGCCCCAAGAACCTCATTTAACACATGTATTGAAGCCCTTCAAATACCAAACTTTGATCCTATTACGTGTCAGAGCCCAGCATCCCCATGGCTCAACTCAGTCATGTCCTGCATATGCTGCAAGGCAACTCTGCCCCTTCAGGTGGTTTAGCTATGATCCAGTGGTTGACTGCTTTTTTCTTTTTCTGTTTACAGGGTCACTAAGACCTCAATAAAATCACATCATCTGGGGGAGGGAGGGAGTGTGGGGAGATATGTGGCAGGGTGGATTTTCCTCTAAAGCTAAAATGTGCTGGGCTTGATATTTTTCCTTTTTTTTTTTTTTTTTTCTGCTGTACTGGGAAAAAGAATAATCCTCTTTTTATTGGAGAGATTTCCTGCTTTCACAATGTTTCTAGGAAATCCATACAGGCCCATGCCAATGTTTATTATTTGCAGAAGAAATAGAATAAGCAGATGAAGATTTTGAAAAGGGTTGTAAAGCCAAAATTGATGCTAGGAGTTAGGCTATTTCGTGATCTCTCCCCACAACACCTTGAATAGTTTATCAGCTAATCCTCCCTGTCTCCAGTGCATCAGGAGAGGATACTGTAGGGATGTCTGGAGTTCTTGGTGATTTCTGTATTGCCATGAGTTTGCCTTGTCTTTGGGAAACTGAAAGAGGGTGGAAGATCCTTATCTCTGTAGGTGCTGGACTTTCAGAAGTGGGGATTATGTGGTGGCGGGGAGAGGATGATGGTGTCCCAGGGAGTGGATGCCTCTGTGATTGAGTGCCAACAGTGCCTCTTGAAGGGGTGATAGGAGTAGAGGACAGCTGTGACTGTTGGGGTCTTTGCATGTCTTTAGGTAGACAATCAGCGGAGGGATCTGGATATGAACAACAATGATATTGATGCTGAGAAGATGACTCGTTTCATTCGGATCAACGAGCTTCGCCTGGTGACAGAGTACACCCCTATGGTAATTACAAGCTCCCCGCAGTCCTCACCTTGTCACTTGGCCTCCTCCTCGGGGACATCCTCTGGTCCAAGGGTTTGCATACCCAGACACGTGTGAGGGTTGTGGCAATGGTGTGGATGGAGGAAGGCACACAGTTTTGCTGTGACTCCGTATAGGGACAGGAAGCAAATGCTGTACTGGGGCGTGCAAGTGGGGTGGGGAGAGGAAGGGAGACATGGTGGTTCATTTCGCTTTCTAGTAATTTTGGGGTGTTGGTGGGCTGAGAGCTCCATTTCTTACCACTCCTTAGTAGTGCTGCTTCCTCCCAGCATGGTTTTTGCCATGTTGTGCCATGCCTGAAGACTCTTCTCAGCCACATCCCCTCTCTTTGACTGAGAAGCCTAGAGAAACATGGAAACTTGACTGACCTACTGCCAGAAGGCAGACTTCTTCCTGGCCCAGCAGCACACATGGCTTGATGTAAACCTGGCTATTTGAAGGCATATTCAAGAGTTGGTTGGAAACTTCCCAGGCAAAATTTTTCCCATTCCCTCCATCCCTTACTTCAGAATTCATCAGTTCAAAAACAATAAAGTCAGACATAGGATACTTCCATGTTGGACATCTTCATTAGCTCACCCATCTGACTGGCACTGGCAGTATGCCAGTGCTCTTTTCTGCTATAGAGAGTGACAAAAGATTCAGGCTCCTCTGAAATCTCAGCAGTTAACTGGTCGCGTTGCTGTGAATTCAATAGGTTTTAGAAGTCCCAGTGGCCGCAAGGTGGAGACTGTCATCACTGACGGGTTCTGTTGCAGACTTCTAGATAGCTGCAACAGTGTTGATCTGGCTCAATTTACAGAAAGGAGAATGAGCCAGCCTGTTTGAAAGCCAGTCTTTTCAAGTTGACGTCAAGGTTCAGCTAAGAGGCTGACAAATTCCCTAATTCAGGTGCAGCCTGCCAGTAGAGAGGATATTTTCTTTTGGAAATGCAAAATTTTGTTTCTACACTGAAATACTGGAGAAGTTCTGTTTCCTCAAGAAAAAAAAAAAAATTGGATGTTTTTTCATTTTGATAAAGGACATGAAAAATTAATTTCAAGATTACAGAGTATTTTGGAGGACAGAAAAGCCGTATCCTGTCCCACTGTCCTTGCAATGAACACTCAAGTCAGAAGTGATGTTCTTGTTACTTGTTATCTTTATAATTGCCCAGACCTTTTGAACCCTGGGACCTCTTACTGTATCTCTTAGCAATTAATTAGATCATGACTCTTTCTTCATGCATTTCTGCTGATGCTTTGGGCTCTTGCTCTTCGGCATCCTATTCAGCACCCAGGCTGTCTCCGTTGACAGAGAAGCCCTGAGCTGTTCAGCTGGTCCTCTCCACCCTGACTGGCAGTACACATGTTGCTCCATTTTTTTTTCCAGATGCTCTGGAGTCCTATCAAGGTGCTGGAGTTGACAGTGCCTCCTGCAGTCTCCAGCCCAAAGCCCTCCCAGCTCTGCTAATGTATCTTGTGTTTTGGTAAATATTTATTCCCAGTGCGTATGCTGTTTACATCATAGAATGCTGCTGGGCAGCAGAGGCTGGGGTCACATGGATTACACTGAGTCCTGCCAAGAGTTTCTCTCCCATCCTGGGGCCCTTACTGTTTCCCCCACATACTTCAAGCATTTTCAGGCAATGCTTACCCTGTGGGCTTTCCAGGAGACTCAGATGTGACTCAGCTATGTTGATGAGCTCTGCTGATCGCTATTGCACAAGGTTCTGTGGACAGCCACACCTGTGTCTGGAGCTGCAGGAGGAACTGCTGCTTCAGCCCTGCCCTCTCTCAGTCCAGACTTGTCATGACCCTCGGTGCTGGGTGGCTTCACCCTCACCTTCAGCCCCATCCTCTCCCATGAGGTCTAATGCCCTCCAGCCTTCTTTTGCATCCCCTCTACTCTCCCCTTCTCCATCTGCACACCACCAGAGAAGTGAAGGGATACAAAATGCCTCATAAACATGAGGCTAATGGTAGAGTCCTGGCTCTCAACAACTAGATGCTTTGTGATTCATGGCCCTTGCCAATGTGCACTTCGTGACCCCTTCCTTATTACTCCTGGAGCTTGTGGAAACTTTTTTCTCCTGCTGGCAGGGAGCTGCAACAGTCTGCACTTCTGTGGTTTCAGTGGCACGGGGGAGGCAGCAGCTCTGGTCTGGCTGCTGTTTAGTTTGAGGGAGAGGCTGCAGGGCTGCAGGAAGTGGGTAGAAGGAGGAGCAAAATGATGAGTGAGTGAGTGCCTGAAGATGGTGCAGCACCTTCTTGGGCAGCGCCAGCACTGTCTCCTTTACAGAGGGCCACTGTATTCGGCCCACTTGGCCCTTACCCAGGGGTTGAAGAACAGCTGGCTCCAGGTCTCCCACTATGAGACTGCAGAGACAATTTTAACCCTGAACACTCTGGAATACCCAGGCCCTGGAGCTGCTGAAACTCTGGACTCATCCCCATCCTACACACAGCTTATTGCTAAAGAAATAAGGAAAGGCACCAACCCTGACACTACAAATCCTTCCCACTTTTTTGATCCCATTTTGTCCAGGTGCTGGATCTCAGTCATTCAGGGCACTCTTATGTTCAGTGTTTGCTGGCCTTCCCTCTCATCTTCCTTGCCCCTCTAGTTTTCAGCTTGCTGTATCAAGGAAGTCCTCTTTCCTAGTCACTGACTGTCCTGAGGCCAGTGATGAATCCTTGTGGTCTTTAGACTCTAATCTTGGCAATAAGCAAAGTCATGAGGTTAAGTGCTTCCACAGAGCACCCAGATTGGATCCCTCCTGCTTTAAGAGGTCCCTTTTTTGGGAGGCTGATTTGCAAAGAAATCTAAACTGAGACATAGGGACCAATGTCCCTTCAGTGCTGCAACCAATGCAGATTGAATGTTCTCAATCTCCTTCTCTGTGTGTGTTTCTCTCTCTGTCTGTGGTGGCAGACAGCAATAGGTGTAATGCAGAGTTCGTTCCAGCTTCACCTTCTCCTGGTCACAGACAAAACATCCCCAAAGTACCCTGAGCAAATGCGCAGATATCGGGAGGCAGCAGAGCTCTTCAAGGGAAAGGTAAGTCCAAACAGCGATTTGGAGAGCAGTGATTTCTTCAGTGGAGGGGGATGGCATTATCTTCTTCTCTGTGGATTAGGGGAGCAAATCCAAGTAGCAGTAAAAGAGGATTGGATGGATAATTAAGTGGAGGGGCTGGATCTGTTCTCCTTTTGCCAGTTTTCCTCCTTGTAGGGAAAATATTCTCTGTATCTCGCTCCTCTGCTCCCTCAGTGGGACATTATGTACTTCCTTGCTTCTGGTCCAGTTTTGTTCCCTTGTATTAAGAGATGACAAACAGCTGCTGCACTTCAGTCTGGTGATGATTGCATTCCACTGGTGTGAGAGATGATTTTGTATATACAGCCTGCAAGGTGCCAAGGAGCATTATATAAGTAACCAGTGATAGCAACTAATGTCACAGTGATTCTTAACTCTTAACCTTCTGGTTGTATCCTGGGGAAACAACTGTTTTAAAAGAGTTGCAAATAGGTTTGTCAGTTTTCCCACACTAAGGTGATGGGATAGATGGTGTGTTCCAGAGAAATTCTGCCTGGTTCCCACCCCACTGTGGACAAAACTCTCCAAACAGTAAACATCCCATGGCTGATTCTCTGCCAGCAGCTGGATTACAGGGGAATTTGTGTTCATGGTACTGAGGAAGGAACTGGCAAGCAAAGGAATGCATCTGGGGCAAGGGAGAAGATTAGAAGGGAGGGGGCAGAAGATCACAGCAGGGGGGAAGGCTGAGCTGAGAGGCAGTGGAAGAAATCTTCCTGGGTGATGTGTGGAGCTGGAAAGAGAAGGTTTGAGAACATAAACATCTGCATGCATCTGTTTGTGGTACTGAAAGGGCAGATTAAAAATTAAGTGTATAATCATCCTCAAATGGAGGGGCCACCTCGGAGCTGTGCACCCTCTAAAGTCTGAGACTTGTTTACAGCAAGGCTACTTTGGACTTTGCCATCTGTCCCACCTACTGGAAACTATGCCTCAAAGTAAAAGGGTCTCTTCAGAAGTGTTTTGCTTTGATGAATACATAGTGATAAAAGAAAACTTGTTTATCTGAAAAATTACAGCTGTTTCATGTGAGATGTGTGCTATAGTAACACCACTAGCACTGTCCTCTGTGAGCAGCAGAGTTTGGTACAGGTCTCCCCACTCCAAGCAGCTAACTCTTCCAACATAACACATTACTGCTTAGCATCACTATCCTTTGCTGGTGCAACTCCAGCTAGCTTTCTCTTCATGTGACATGCCTAGATCTGAGAAAATGTGATTAATTTTCCTGGAAATACTTCATAAAACATTGGATAAAATGTTGTACTGATGTGCAGATAAGTTATGGATTGCCGACAAGCCAAATCTAACTTTTTTTAAATTCATCCAGGCAAGTTTCCCAGTCTAGAAGTTTCCCACAGTAAAAATAGAGATTAAACATGGGGGGATTTGAGTTATTATTTCTACTGCAGCGGTACTGAAGAACATGTAGATGAAAAGACTTAGAGTCTAATAAAGTGTTTTTCACAAAGGACTGCCACTCTGAGGAGTAAATTGTGATTTGTGCTGCCCACTTACAAAGCAGTAAGAGAGAACTAAGACCTCTCTGTTTGGGCCTTAGATCTGGATAGTAAGGAGTAAGCAGAACAATATGCCCACTTAGGTTTGTCTCGTGCTCTGAGATGTAGAAAGACATGAGTTAGTTTGGGTATCAGAAGCAGCCACTGAACAATACCACAGAAATCTCTGCTATCTAATTTTCCTAAGTGGAGTGTCCTGTGTTTAGGAGTAGCAGTCATTTTTTTTTCTCCTTAGTAGCTGGTGCAGCGCTGTGTTTTTGACTTTCAGCCTCAGAACAGCACTGGTAACACTGGTGTTTAGTCTGACCAATTACTTTGTGAGTCTCATGCTCTGCCAGGGAGGAGGGAAAGCCAGAAGGAAGCAGAGACAGGACACCTGACCCAAACTGACCAAAAAGTATTCCATACCACAGCACGTCATGCCCAGGATGTAACTGGGAGTTATCTGGAAGGGCTAGAGGACTGTGGGGTTGGACTAGGTTTTATGCTCTTCCCTTGTTATTTCCTTTATCGTTATTATTATTGGTGGTAGCAGTAGTGATTTGTGTTATACCTTAGTTACTAAACTGTTCTTATCTCAACCCGTGGGAGTTGCATTCTTTTGATTCTCCTCCCTGTTCCTCTGGGAGCAGGGGGAAGGCAAGGGGGGAGTGTGTGAGAGACTGTGTGACTGACTGTGTTTAAACCACGACATGGAGTTATCTGTTGTCAGGATCACAAAGTTAACTCAGGTTTACTTCAAAACAAGTAAAGTATTGAGTAGGTTTTGCCTTTTTGCAGCTCACAGATTATGTGCAAATAAATGCAAGATTCTTGACTTGAATTTTATTTAGGATTACCAGTGAATAATTCACAGCCTGGTGTGGGCTGGTGGTGAAAGGCTTGTTTGTGCTGCAGGGTTAGTTCTGTTAGTAGTTCAAGCAAGGAATCATTGTGCAGTTCAAGCTCCCTCTGAGCATGTACCACTGCATCCATCAGTGCTTTACAGTGATTGCAGAGTGCCAGAACAGAGTGGGGAGGCTTGGTGTGTGTTGCAACTTCTTTACAAGCCAGTGCAGAACACAGAGCCTTGAGATGGTTCCCAAGCAGGAGAAAGGGTATGGATCCTTTCACACATCTCTACTTTGCTCTAAGGGAAGAGGCGTCCTTGTTGTTGTCATCACTAGCTGGAGGCAGAGGAGAAATTTTTTGCTTGCATTGATGAATAGATGAAGTGGAACTGCTCCTGCTGAGCGGCTGGTTCCAAAGGATGAAGAAAACTAAAGAAAATAGAATCATTTAGGTTGGAAAAGACCCTTAAGATCATGAAGTCCAATTGTTAATAGATCATGAGGAAATGATTAATCTGCCAGTTCCTGGATTATAGTCACTTCCTCTCTGGTTTAAGATTTTTCATTTTTGCCTTAGACGAAGCTGAGGTTTTCAGCTGGAGGATCCATGAGGCTGTATGGTGAGGACTGTTACTTCAAAACAGCCTGAACTTCACCCTGAGCAGCAGTGTCTGAAAGCAGTTTAGATTTTATCATGGAACCTGGGGTCTGTAAAATGCTGGAGGGGAAAATGAAAAGGTCAGATGATGCTAAGAGAGCAAGAGCTGACAAGATTAAAAATACAATACTTTTCTAGCGGACATGGAGAAACAATTACAGGTGGGTAACAGTGAACAGACAGAGCTCAGGGTGCTACAGCTGCAGAAGTGAATCCACCAGCCTTCTTGGAAGGACCCCACTGCAATCAAACATGTGCGTATTTGGGAAAGTACTGCCAAGAGTCCAAGCTTTCTAATGGAAACAAAACGTCAGGGTTTGCATTGCTGAGCCAAATTAGCATAAACATCTTCAATTTTCTTTCCACAGTATCAGAGCATAACATATCAATTACAGCTGGCATATCTCATGGATGTTTGAAGAAGTTTTAATAAGGTGATGCTGGGAATAACAAAGGCAACTTTTGCTGCAACTAATGTAACTGGTTTACAACGTCAAAATTGTTTAGATAGAGATGTTTGCAAAGTCCCTTTTACTTTCTATGTAGGCCTATTTAGAAAGGGGTTCTGAGAAACTCCCAAGAGCCCTTCAGGAGTACAATGCTGCCCCTTCTTTTTCAGGCAGCCATTCATACACTTTTGATTTTTCTTGTCATTGATAGCCCCAGAACTGAGAGGGATAATATTTAGAAATGCCTTGTCTAGCCATAACCAGGGGAACCTGTAAATTCAGATTGTCTATGTCATTTAAAGATATCTGCAGTAAACTCGTTTTTATAGCTTTCTTTTTTTTTAATTTATGACTGATATTTTTGTTTTGCTCTGATGTACTATGCAAGCTATGTAAGAAGTTACTCAATCTACAGACCTTAATCTTTTTGGTTATACAGTCTCCTCAAAGAATGAAGGTTACAGCTTCATGAAGCTCAAAGACAAACACTGGACATGAGGTTGGATCATCCTTCCTGTTTATCTTTGTTAGAGGAAAAACTAAACAACACCAAATTGGTTTCTACCACTGCAGTCCTATTTGCAATTAACTTTAATTCCTTGGGTAACAGCATCATTCAGTATCTTAGTATTTACCAGGAACTTGATGTTCTAAAAGCACTCAACCGGGAATCAAGCTGTCAAGACACCAAGATGGCACCACTGTACAAAATTTTCTGAAAGAGAAATTTGCAGGTGACAGTGCACAGATAATATCACGTTGGAGGGGAGAATTTGTGTCAGGAATTCCCTATCCATGCAGGTGATCCTTCACTGCCTGTAGCAGCTGATTTCTGAACACAAGCAAGAAAATTTCTTCAAAATGAAACAGTTTCATAGAAATCATTTCAGAATGAAAAAAAAAAAAAAACAAAACCCAAACCAAAGCAAACAAACACAGCTATTGTACAGGATAGGATGAAATAGAAAATGAACTTTCTGTCTGGGATGGAACTACCTGGTTTCTAGCAGTGATGTGACAGTTGGCATTGTAAGTGGGATATGTTTTTGTGAATTATAGCTTTGGTAAGTTGTCTGAGCAAAGGCTTTAGGCTCCTTTCAGCACTGATAGAGAAGGACATGTCCTTCTTTTCTTCTAAAATAGGTGGAATAATGTGCCTGCCACCATTGGTTGCGGAGGTTATGTAAATAACTGTCTGATACAAGACTAAGATCTGGATGTCAGATGTTAGGCAACGTAACTCTTGTCTCATGCCAGTGTATTTTTCCATGGTCACTGCATTCATTCTTTGTGATTGGAGCTGGCTGGGAATCTCTGAACAAAATAAATTCCTCATGAGAAAATGCCAGGTGGCTTCTATCATGGAAATGCCCCCACTGAGAAACTTGCTTGGTTTCCAGCTGCTGAGGAGACCAGCCTTGCAATGCTTGTGACCTCAGTACCAACACACCTTACAGAGTGCCTCACAGGTGTGACTCTGAGGCCACACAGGTCTTGTCAGGACCCATGGAGCACATCCAGTGCAGGGTGCACGTCCTTTTGCTGAAGGAGGATTCATCCCACATCACAACAGCTGCCTAGAATGTGTCATTCTAAAATGCATTTAGGATAAGCATTAAGGTGTCTTCTTTCAAGAGGCAGTGGACAAATGCAATTGCTGTCTCTCCTGTATTTTTGGAATATGAGGGGAAGGAAACTTTTGCTATACTTTGGCATCCTGTAAGTCCATGAGCCAAGTGTGAGTCATTAGAGAGATCCAAGTCAGGAACTGTGAATGATGACATCTCAGCCTTTCTAGCTGAGGGGCCAGTGGGTTTTGTGGTTTTTTTTTTCTTTTGTAAGGAAAAAGATGTTTGGAGTTCTAAACCTTTTTATTCTTTTATTCTTACTCTATTCTCTGTATTCATAGATAAAGTATGTACAGCTTTTTAGTTTGGGGATTTTTAGCAAAGGCTGGAAGCTTGATAAAGTGAAGAATATTGACTGATATTTATTTATATTACCATCTTTTTAAAGGTGGAGGAAATTTTGCATAGAAAGTGACATTTAACAACCTAAATTTTCTAAATGTGGGGTTTTTTTTAGCTTCTTGCTTAACATTTGTTTTAAATAATGTTGCTGTCTAGTGAATCTTTCATACAGAAATCTAAAAGCTGCTGAATGAACTGGTGAAAATGTGATACCATATCCTGTACCAACCTTCTGAAAATGCTTCTCACCAACACTGGCCTCTGTTCCCAACTTGCTAGTTGGAAGGAGAGCCCTAAAATATAAATATTGATGCTCCAGCTGAGAGTTTCCTATATTGAGTGCTTAGACCTGTGACCTTCAGATTTGTGGCCCTTCTTTAGTTAATCTATTTAGTGTTTTATCCTGCAAAAGGATGAATTTAGCACTCAGGGAGAAGTTTCCACAGCATGTCTGCTCACTAGCTTGTTTTCCTCGGGGTACAGTTGACTTTTGGAATAGAAATTGCAAGTGATAAATACCACGTATCCAGTGAAAAATGTTGTTCCTGTTTCTGTATTGCAGTGATTAACCGGAGTTAAACCTTACACTAGCCTAACTATCCATCCTTCCCATAGGCTGTTTCCTAGGAAAGTTTCCAGGTATATTTGGTCTTTTATAGAACACAAATTTAATAAAGAATTTGAGATTTACCAAGGTTTGTTTTTGTTTTTTTTTTTTTTTGAGAAGAAAAAGGTTTCAAACTAACTTGCTTGTTCTTGATCTAAAAGAAAGAAAAACATGAGTCACAGCCTGGGAACCAGACACATCATCTTCACATTGCATTACTTTCCTTTTTCTTAAACTCTTTCTGGCTTTTGTGTAAGTTAAGTCATATCCATGTCCATAGGTATATTGAATATGCTAGGCCCAGTAGATTGCACAGGATAAAGGTAAGGTAAAATGGTGCATGATAGCTGGATGTTTGTTTCATTGACTTGGTTGTCAGCAGCCAAAGGGAATCTATTTAATCAGGTCACTGATTAAATTTTTCAATTGCTGTATTTTTTATTTTTTATTTTTAAATTTGTACATAATATTTTCACCTAGCATTAACAGATAATTTAAAAAAGGTCTTTGAGATAGCTGTATATTTTATTGTTAGTCTTTCAGATTAAAACCATTAAAATTTATACCAATTCCTACTGCACTTGTAAGATCTCAGCTGAAAGTTATTCATAAAATAAAACCATGGAGCTGCTTACCATTTCTGCTAAATCTATACTATTGAATCATAGAATCATGAATGGTTTGGGTTGGAAGGGACCTTAAAACTCATCCAGTTCAAACCCCCCTGCCATGGGTAGGGATACCTTCCACTAGAGCAGGTTGCTCCAAGCCCTGTCCAATCTGGCCTTGAACACTGCCAGGGATGGGGCAACCACAGCTTCTCTGTGCAACCTGTTCTAGTGAATCATATGTCAGAATCCTAACCCTTGCTCTCCAGGACTATTCATGAGCCCAGAAAACTGAATGTTGTTCTTATCTTGGCTTAGTCATTGTTGGGCTTCTCTCCTCAGGTCTGAACAACCCTCCACTGAGCTGAGCCGTATGGATATTGGTGTCTTGCCACCAACTCGTTTCCTAGATGATTGCATCTTCATTTCTGTTCACTGCAGCTCACTTAAATGTTTGTGTTTGGCTCTCTTATGTTCTTATCCTTGCAGGCTCCTGCTGCCCTATACTTCACTCCCACATTCTTGCAATTGAGTTTGATTTTTACACACCAAAACACCTTTTTACTCTGCCACTGTGGGTCTTCCACAGATGTGATCTTATCCAAATATCATGCAAGGAGAGAAGTCAGCTTCTTTTGCATGTGCCACTAAGATAAAAGCCATTTTGTTTCCTCAGCTACTAAGAGAATTGAAGTGGAAATTGCCTTCTTGCCATAGTGTAGATATACTTTTAAAGAAGGTGAAAGAAGACATTTTATTTGGTAGTGTAAGACTGGACTTGATAAAATACAGAAAAATGCACTGTGTGGAGCAGTTATATAGTGGCAGAGGAAAGTGGTGTCCTAAGAGAGTATAGTAGGCTTTCTCTAATTCTAAAAACATTGCTGTTAATCTTCGTATGATCATGGTCTGGGGAGCTGTTGTCTCTCTCTCAGTTTCCTTTTTGCTTACATTTCCTGTCCTGTTTCCATCACAGATTCTCTTTATCCTGGTAGACGTTAATTTGAAGAGCAGTGAACGAACAGTGTCATTCTTCAAACTGAAGAAGTCCCAGCTGCCAGCTCTGGCTATATTCAATGCACCAGATGAGGAGCAGGATGTCTTGACTCTGGATGAAGTCTCTGTTGAGCGTGTACAGGACTTTTGTAATGGTTTCATAGAAAGAATGGAGAAGGTAAAGGGGAACTTCTGTACAGTCTACAGAAATCTGGGATCTTGTAGGACAATGCTGTTGCTCACAAGGCTCTCTTCAGTTCCTTGAATTCCTCCCCAGCCCTGCCACCTCCTCTTTTATTTTCATTTCACCTGGATATCAGAAAAACGTTCAATCTAGAGGAAAGCAGAAATGGATGTTTTTGCAGAGCTTCTTTCTTCATTGATTTCTGCCTTCTAGTCTGCAGCAGGAAGACTTCACTGACCTCTGCAACTGTATGAAGATGTCAGTGAAGCATCTTTTTTCTGGGGAAAGCAGCTGGGAGACAGAATGAAGGGTGCTTTTGGACACTAGGAAGGCAGCACATGATAGGGTCAGAAAGAGAGTGGCACGGAGAGGAAGGAAATCTATCAGGAAGGCCACAGAACAGAGTATGCAGACAAAGGCTCAGAACTCTAGCAGAGGTCTCTGCTGGTAAAGGGACAATTTAATCTCCATGTTCATTCAGTGTTAAGAGCTCTCTCTGTCAAGGCTCATCTTCCTATAGCACAGAGGCTTTGTGTGTCAGTACCTTGTGTTGGGCAATTGAAATGGGATATGCAGGGCAGTGGCAGAGACAGGAGAGGCATTTAAGCTGGTTTGTTTCCTTTTATCATTATGCTGAAGAAACTGAGCTACATAAAAACTGATTTCATGCCTCTAATGTGTTTTAGGGTGAAGATGAACCTGAGGAGAAGACTCCCAATGAGGAACTATGATTCTTTCTCAGCCATCAGGATGACTGTTGCCAGAGTCTGTTTCTGGCATATGAAGAGTTCACTGAGCCCCACAGCTCAGGAAGTCCTGGGATGGCAGGATTATGGGACCACGTCAGTCATGGATTCCCATCACCATGCCATGTACATATATGCTGTCTGTCCTTTCTAGAAATCTCTTCTCCCTTCTCATTTGCTGTCTCCAGCTCTCATTTTCTCAGTACTCCAGTAGTTCTGGTATTGCCCTACACTGTGTCCGTCCATGACAGCTCTGTGACACAGCAAAGTGGCAATATCAGAAATGAAGAATATAGTTTCCAGAGATGTTTCCCTCATTCTCTTTTCTTTTGGTGCCATGCTGAGTTCCACTGTCAGCCTCTCCTGACACTAGAAATAGATTGGTTGCTTGATATCACATGAACTTTTCCATTTATTTTACTAAATAAACCAGAAACTGAATAGCCTGATTTTTTATGCAAATATGTGATTTTCTACTCCGTATGTCTTTCACTTAAGGACAAAGCCTGTGTATTTCTGAGTGAGTAAGCTCAAAAATCTCCTTTCTCTGAATTTCACCAGGCTTGCAATGCCTAACCAGTCAGATTGGTTGCTAAGAATCATTTCCCATGGAACCATACCCATCATCAACAGATATTTTCAGCAAGATGAGAGATTTCTGTGAAGGTTTGGGATCAGAACAGCACTGGGTACAGCAGGTCTGAGCTGGTGCAGCAAAAATGAATTAGACTAAGATGCAGATTGAGGCTAAGAGGAATGGGATCTGTGGCAGAGGAGCAGTAGAAGTTGCATTGCAAGATAGGGGATATCTTCACATTGCATTAGAGAGGAAGGCTAATGTCTGTGTATTGACCTCAGACATCCCTCAGAGGTCCCAGTGCTGGCATACAGGGGATGGGGACTTTGCAGACGAGGTGTATTAGCCATCCGTGTGCTGCTGTACTAGATTCATGCAGTAGGCTTGCCTCATAGTTGGCTGAGCATCCTTTGGCATGAAGCATGGATGCTTCTGTCAAACAGTGACTGCATTGTCTCTCAGGGCTTGAGAGACTTGGCTTGGGACAGGGAGCCTAAGTGGAGTAAAGCTGAGAAACCTCACTTGATCCTTTCTCTCAGGGATTGGCCCAAGGGGAAGAACTGGGAATAGAAAGTTGTTCTCGCGAATGAGACAAACACAGCTCCCCACCACAGAGGGAGAAGTCAGGAGATGGCAAGGATGCAAAGTAAGTGGCAGCCATCATGATGATCACCATAGCAGGAAGGCTCTCAGTACAATAGAGAGGCAGGTGCCAGCCCTGTGTTAGCTCTTGCTTCACCCGTGAGGGTCAAGCTGATGCCTTCCATCAACCTAAGGCTCTGTCTTCCTTGCAGCTGGACTCAGCTCCTTCAGCGCTCTACTGTTACTTCTACTCTGCTTACCTAAAGCAAATCCAATGCTGCAACAGTTGGTATGGGGAGTCAAAATTGCTGCACATTTCCAAGGAAGAGTGGTGTGATCAAAACAGTATACAGGATTGCGCCTTTTGTTGGCAAGGCTGAGCAACTGTTTCCCTGCCCAGGGAACTATCCCCTAAGAGGCAAGGTGGTGGTCAATATGGGGTCTTAGAAGCTCCATGGTCAACAAATAGCCAATAATTGTTTCCTAAATGAGGCAGTTCAGAAAAGAGCAGAACAGTGAGGAGATGAGAGAAGCAAACCACCTCTGTTCAATTCTCCTCTTGTCACAGCTGGGTGCTCCCTAACCTCTGGTTTGTATGTGGCCTCTGAGAACATGTAGTATTGCTTCTGGCCACAGCTGGATATTAACACTGAAGATGTCAAGAGAGACGTGAGTTTGAGGCATTACACTCTGCATATTTATTTCTTTGGGCTGGTAAAACTGGAGGCAACAGTCCTCAGCCCATAAAATTGTTTTGCTTTGGTGTCCTTTCTTCTGAGTAACCATTTAACAGTGACTTCGTGCCACTAGCATGTAGTCCCAGAAGATGATGTGTCACCATCATCAGCTGGAGCCTACAAGGCCGTAAGGTTTGGTCCATGGGTGTAGTGTTCATGTGACAGCTGGAGTGAGCCATTTCTGCAGGCCTTTTAAGTGTCTTTTTCTTTGAAGCACAAGACTATCCAAGGTGGTCACATACCTGCTGCTGTTTGGTGCCCTGGATTTGCGTGCTAGTCTTGGAGCTGCAAGTGAAGACTGCTGCTCAGTGGTACTCCTTGGCATGTAGGGCCTTGCCTGGTAGCATCATGTGGCTTCACTGCAGCTTCTCTACTACTTGATAAGTTTCCTCAGGAGATGCTGTCATTGAGCAGACCAAAGTAGGCCCTCACCATCAGTAAGGCCAGGGAAGAGAACTGTCTGCACCAGATGACCTCTTGGGTGAGCGTGTGTCTCGTGGTAATATATATGCCTCTAACCTGCTGGATGCTCCTGTGGCTTTTGTGCATTGAAGAAAGTGTGCAAAAGTACAGGAAAGATGCTGAGGATAGGAGGCCGATGTCCGAAGTGTCAGAATGTCTTGCTGGCTTCGGCTGGTGTCTGAGCCCCAGAGTATGGGCTGAGGTTGTAGTGCTGGACTAGAAGAGCATGAATGAAGTCTAAACTTTGGCAGTGGAGTTCCCTGTGTAATGCATGAGGCTTGCCAGGCCTGTGTGTGCCTGTGCAAAGGGCATTGTAATGGGAAGATCTGTTGTCTCTGACCATATGGCTGTGTAAAAGTGTGAGCACAGGACTCAGGCCCTCTGAAACACTGGGGAGCCACAGGGTCTCGTCCCAGACTCTGTCACACATTACAGCATTGAGGATCAGACATGGCTCATCTCATACTGGCCCAGAGCTCAGGCAGAGTAAACTCCTTCCAACATCCCATGTCAGTGGTATATGATGGTTTTGAACTCCTGGGTTTATACCAGTCCTAGAACACACAGGGCGGTGTCTGTTAGCAAATGCTCTGCTTTCCCTAAATGGGAAAATTGCTCTTTTTTTATGGCTGTAGCTTGTTTCTCGCTAGGAAAGGTTGTACTGCTTTCTCTGTAGTAAGGTGAAGTGGGAAGGTCTTCTGCGGGGACATCTGTGAGGAGCCTTGACATTGTAAATGTTTCCAGTGTCACGTACCTTTGGTGGTCCAGACCAAACACTGTGGGGAAACTGGCCTGGTCCATGGGCATCTGAGGTTCTTGTCTTGGTCCTGTGTGAACACAATAGCTGCAGGAACTGGGCACAGCGACGTGACTCTTCCTCAGTGCTAGAGGGAAAAAAACAGGACATGAATGAAGCTCTGGTTCTGCAAACAAGCTTGGGACCAAGAGCAATGTCCCCGTTGACCGTGTTTGCTGTGTACATAGCTAATTATAGGGACAGCTTTTCAGGAGTTTAATTATGTACACTGGGGAGCTTCATTCCCTCTGTGCCTTCCAGAGCTCTGCACCTAACCAACAACCTTGGGAGCCACAAAGCAGCCACAGGAAAAGCCTCCTCCTTCTTCAGCTGCTCTGCCATACTCTCTGGAACTTGCATAGCACAGGCAGCCCTGGAGTGCTATGCTCAGGATGCCCTGGGCACAGACAACAGTGGTGGTAGAGCCAGGGGGTTTGCATGAATTTATGTGCTCCAAGGCTTCTGCAATGCAGCTTTGGTGGGCTTAGCCACTGTGGGGGAGCATCCAAGGTAGAAACCAAAGGCATAATGTTATGAAGGGGGAGCCTCTTGTTGTTCTGGTTTGGGTTTTGTCCCTCTTGTATTAACCCTTTGACTTGAATCTGTGATGTACTTGGCCCAGATGTTTTGAGCTGGCCAGAGAGGCTGGGCTGGTTTTCAAGGAAGGAAGTGCTGGAGACTGACTGACAGAGGGAAGCATGGGGGGTTCTTATTCCCTTCAGTATTATGGAGGTACCATGGTGTGAGAGCCACTGCCTGAACTCAAGGGACATTCAAAATAGCCAAGAGAGCAGCTGAGCCTGCCTGACAGCAAAGCAAGGCTGCAGATGCTTGTGAGAGCTGCCATCTTTACCACAGGGAACAGGGAACTGGGTTGTGCTGTGGAAGATGCAACTCTATATTCTTCCTTGGTGAGAAAAGATTTGAATGCCTTCAAAAGCAGAATATTACAAAGACCTGGAGGTTCAGCAAGGGGCTAACATTTTTGCAGTTATCCTCCTGAACTGTTGTGGTATAAAGTATATTTTCCTTAGATGTGAGGGCTGGGTCCTACGTGGGGGAGGAAATGGTGAAGATTTAGTGTAAGATATGGTAGGGAATGTCCTCCTTATAATAAAAGAATGAAGGGCACAGCTGTCTAACACCTCTGTTCATCTGGAAGGAAGCTGAACCAATAAATCGGGCAGCAGTAGTAGAAGTAAACCCTTTCTTACAGGTGGGGAGACAACAGGGCTTAGTCACTTCTCACCTCCGCTCAGGATGGCTTTCCCTCAGTACCGTTAACAGCAGCTCATGGGCTAGCGAAGAGGTGGGGAGGTTGATATAGGAGGGGGAAATATTGTCTGAAGTATGCAACTGGGGAAGTGGTTTGCAGGACTGTGAAGGAAGAGGGCAGGCAAGAGCCAGAGGCTGGTCAGGGAGAAGGAAAGAACTTGTCCAAGGGGTGATGTGGCAAGGGACAGCAAGGGTCAATGAGGGAAGGTTCTGGGTGGGTACCACAGGGAACTGATAATGATGGAGAGAAAAACATAACAGTGTTTTTTTCTGGGGCTGTGAATCAAGTACCTCTTTGACCAATTTTGGCTCAGTCACTAAGGAAACATCAGAGGAATATTCTCAGTGGAAAAACCTGCAAAGCCACAAGATGCACATTGAAGAAGAAAGTATTTTTCTTCCCCTTTGAATTTCTTCCTTCTCTGCTAATGTACCTACAGATCCAGATAGGCAGGCCAGTCCCATGAGCTGCCAAGCGGCATATTTCTCCAGGTTAGAGGAGTCCATGTACAGGGTGAGAAGCCAGGCAAATCCACTTTCCAGTCTAAACACATGGGCTGTGTGTGCACTCCAGGTTTCTCCCTATCCCAGTGTATCCCTAAGTATTACATACCCTTCCTGTCTCCTACCTACCTCTCTTCCTAGGCCAGAGTGCACATTTCATCGTAGTGTTAGGCACTTTGTGTAGCTCTATACCAGTCATGTCATGTGGTTTGTATAATGCCTACATCACCAGCATTATCTTGCCTTTCATCTATCGCTGAGGTGTTGGTAGTATTGCTATTTGTAACTTTCTGAGACAGATCTGAGACAGTCATTACTTCCATAGGCACCAGAAGACATAATTAGAATTGGTGCAGTCTGCTTCTGGTTCCTTGATTTGTGTGGGGAACTGCAGAGAAATGTCAAGTCCTCAGCTATCAGGAGAGCAAGATGGGGTCTTGCAGTTTCCCTGGGTTTTGATTTGTTGCTATTGATCACTGATATCAATAGAATAATGACCTCAAAAAAAAAAAAAAA